TGTGCCATTGCTGCCTGGTCTGTAAGGCTGGCCAGTGTGGCTGTTTTGCTTTTCTGATCTTCAGGTAAGCTTTATTTATTAAAATGCCACTACTTCACCAGAAGTGTTGTGACCACACTATGTCCCTCTCCATGTTTTTAGTTCTGGCCAGGCTCATGTCTAAAGGAGCATCTTCTAGAATGAGGATTGTTCTGGAAAGCAATGCATGGTGCAGACCTAGTGAGAAGCAGGCAAACAAAGCAGGGACATGTTGCAGATGTTTGTGGTGCTTGGTGAGTGTGTATCAGATGGAAGGCAGAGACAGGCAAGGCTTTGGAATGTGGGGGGCATGTCATGTGACCTCCAAACAGAAGACATCACTGGAGCTTAGACAAAAGCTTTAGTTAGTCCTCATGAGTGAGAAGAACTGGTTGTGGCCCTAGGAGCAGAGGACAAGGTTCTATTTGAGGATCGTATGCACGGCCACATGGGAACAAAGTACCCAGGCAATAAATGTCATGTCAACAGCAAAGGCCTACAGGACCAGCACTCACCATGTGTGTGACAGTGTAGGTCATGAAAGGGTTTATGGCGAGGGTGACCCATGGAGGAGAAACTTGAAGAATCGCTCTAGGTAAGAGGGGGCTTTAGTCTTGAAGGAATACTTAGAGTAAAACTAAGGAGGTTGTCATGGGTAGATCAGTGGTCCCCTGAACCATATGACACACACCTCATCCCTGGTGTAATGTGTACGTATTTGGAAAAAGGATCTTTTTGGGCGTTATTAGGTTGTGTATCTTAAGTTTAGACCTTACTGGATAACCAAGGTGAGTACCAAATCCAATGACAAGTGTCACACAGAGAACAGGGACAGGCCTTGGCACAGTGGAGAAGCCATCAGAGACTAAAAGAGCTTGCAAAATGATGTGGCTCCACCAGTTCCTTGATATTGGCACCCAGAACTCTGAGGGATAAATTTCAGGACCCTAGCTCTAAGAACTGGCTGCTGTGGCCACAGCTCCTGGCAGAGCTGTAGGAGCATTATCCTCTGCAAGCTCTCCTTGTCCCCAGACCCATTTCTTACCCTTGTTCTGTTCTCAAAACTGGATGGACACCTGCCATATGTACCTTCACATGGAGTGGCCTCTGTGTACATTTGTGTCTGACTCTCTTTTCCTATGAGAATGCCACCTGTGTTAGATTGGAGCCCATGCTAAAGAAATCATCTTGACTAATTATCAGCTATAAGAAGAGCGTGTGTCCAAATACTGTCACATTCTAAGACATAAAGTTTTAAGAATGAGCATGGGAATTCTGGGAGACATAGCCCAGACAATACCTAGACTTATGCAGTAGTGGAAGATTGGGAGATGGTGAAAACCAAAACACGTCCAGGGGGAATGAGAGCAGCAGTTTCACAAGAGAAGATGGGATCCAGTGAGCTGGTAGGGGGGAGGAGCACTGGGTCGAGGCTGCAAGATGCTGGGTGGAAGTCAAAATCCGTAACAAGGGGAAGATGCCAGGGTGAGGCATAGGGAAAGGAAAAAAATGTGTCTTCTAGGAATCCAGTAGGGAGAGAACAAGACTAGCTTCTAAGCGCGTGTGAGAAACCTCAGAAGCTTCCAGGAGGCTCAAGCTGAGGATCTGGTGACTGGGAAAAAAAATGTCAAAAGTAGAAAGGTGTCCATGCCAGGCATTGAATCCCAGCTAGTTGGAAGGCTAAGACAAGAGGATCACAGGTGAAGGCTCTCCTGGGTTACACAGAAAAACCCTGTCTATAATACATATATAGTTAGGGGTACAGTGATATATATATATATATATAGATCAATGGTAGACTGATTACCTAGCATGCTCAAGAGCCTAGGTTAAATCTGTAATATAAGAAAGAAGAAGGAGGAGGAGGAGGAAGAGGAGGAGGAGGAGGGGAAGGAAGAAGAAGAAGAAGAAGAAGAAGAAGAAGAAGAAGAAGAAGAAGAAGAAGAAGAAGAAGAAGAAGAAGAAGAAGAAGGGGGTTTCATCATTTATGCAAGTCTATGAGTATCCACAGGGAGATGAAGCCCCTAAACTGAAAGTTTGTACATTTTGAAAGGAATTAAGTTCTTCCCACAGCCTAACCCTCCACATGACAACACAAACATACACACTTGGCCTCTGGTCTTCTTTATGTTGTGTCCCTGTGAAAACAAAACTCAGGCTTGCAAAAGGTCACTGCAGGAAAGGGAGGCCTCTAAGAGAGGCAACAAGCTGGCTAGGAGCCATGCCTGTGTGTTAGCCACACACAGCCTGCAGCCCCATTAGGGCCGTGGTCCCAGGGACCGTACACACGTGCTTCTGCAGATGAGCCTCCATTTATTAATGCAACGCTCTGCAGGGTGCGGTGCCGTAAATTGTAATGGGTGAAATTTATAAACTGAGATAGTACTTGCAGGAGGTCCCGTGACTTGTAATTCTCTGGACCTGACAAACGAACGCCTTTGAGCAGGGACAGCTTTAGCAGAGGGGGAGAAATACATCAGCCGGCTGAGCTGTGCTAAGAAAGCAAGCAGTTTTATTGGTCTATGGATCTGGAGAGAGGTTGATTAAGTCAGGTTTGGAATCCCCCATGGTTGTTTTACAAGGTGCTTTATCCCGGAGACCAACTGCGCTCCCCCCATATTACCATAACCTCCATGGAACAGTGAGGAGTGAGTTACATGGTATTTAGGATGGGAAACAAAAATATATCTCTTCATGGTCCTGGAACAAGGTGAGTGTGACATCCTAGGAGGCCCCTGGGTGCCAAAGCCTATATTAGAGGAAGTTCACAGGTGGCTTTCCACAACAGTGATAAAAGTCCTTGATCACTTGAAGGAAAAAAAAAAAAAAACAAAGCCAAAAATGCCTTGAGTTGCTGAGCCCATTTTATGAGAATATATTTAGAATAAGTAGGACTGGCCAGAGGTTAGCTTGTTAGATCACAGAAGTCTGGGCTTACTTGGCAAGCTGGGGGAAAACCCCAGAATGCAACGGGCAGCAGTTAAACAGCAGACACTAGAACAAACTGCTTTTAATTATATTTATGTCCTAAGAGAATCAATTTGCTATCAAATAACTAATGTGCTAATTATATCCACTGGCCTGTTGGTTGAAGCAAGTCCCCCAAAGACTTCATTGGAGGAAACAGTTTGGTTTTGTAGAATAGTTAGACGTTATAAAACAGAGCCTTCAAAAGCCAGATAGTCAAAGTTTGTCTTCCTTCCAATTACCAGAAAGGAACTATTAAATTCAGAAATGTATTTGTTAAAAAAAAATCAGACAGGGAAGAGCAGAGTTCCAATTAAGCGGAAGGCAGGGGAACCAACACCGGATGACCTCTCTGCTCCGAGGAGTGGGCTCGGGGTTTCAGGGTCCTCCAGAAGATCCTATCGTCGGGCTTCAGGGTCAAGAACACCGTTCAGGGCACGTCCCCACCTTGCTGTAGTCTCACAGCAGTGGTTAGAAAAGGCAGGAATTAAGTGACCTTCCGTGTCCCCAGCCTCTGCCTGAAGACACAGATTTCCTCGGCTCCTAAACTTGATCAGTGTCTACCGCATTCTCCATCACACGATGTCTCCACAGACAGGGACACTTGATTGGTCCTCCCCTCTGACCCCCATGAAGCAGAGCCTACAGGGACATGGGACCTTTACTAATTTCAGAAGCCGCTGTGCCAAGGTGGAGAAAGGCAGGGCAGAGTCTTGCTGTGGCAAAGACCTGAGCAATTTGTCGCAGCCACAGGAGACTTCCGAAATGTCTTTCCCAGAAGCTGTGCCTGCAGGAGCGTTTGTGTGGCGGCAGGGCACCTGCCTCGGAGCCCGGGACTATCCAGGCTCCCTGCCACAACGGGAGCAAGAACGTCAGGGGGTCGGGCACGTAAACCACAGCACTGGGATCTGACGCAGAACACAAATCCTGGAGATGTTCACTGCCGGAACTCTTGGTCTGAGCCAATCACCAAGATTCCTGCGGTAGAGGCAGGGTAAGAGCCGAACCTTTCCTTTCCTGTGGAGATGGATAGAGCTCACCCTACCCCACTTCACCCTGCCTACTCAGGCTGACGCTCCTGCGGTCTTTCACTCAGGAGCAGGGTTCAAGGGCTTTTTCCACCTAATCTCCCCCTGGAACCGAAATCTTCCTCTCTCGCCCTTAGTCTAGACCAGCACTGGAATAAGAATCCTAGAGCAGACTGTAAATCAGTGGTTTGCAGCAAAGTGGTTTGCTAACAGGCCCTGAGATTCAGGGATCAGTCATGAATGGGGTAGTCCAGTAGAGACGCCTCATTTTTCTAAGACTGGTGTTGAAAACCGGTGGCTGCTTCCCCAGAAAACGTTCCCAAGCCCCCCTGTGCAGGCTTTAGACAGATGCCCAACATCAGCTGACAGAGACACTTTAGCCCTAGCTCACCCCATGTACTTCCATCCCTGCCACCCCCCCCAAGGCATGCACCCTTCTTTGCCACTGGAATCCTGCATCCAGACACGTCCTAGCTTCCCATAAAACCCATTGTCTGACCAACAGGAAGAGCTGAGTTCCAGTTATTGGAGCAAACTGCTATCTCAGGAAAAGGCAAACCCGGGTGCTGTTTGAGGGAAAAAAGACAGATAAAGACCACTTCCCTCCAATGCAACAAGCCCCCGAGGAGCTGCCTGCGCTGAATCCGCTGCAGTCAGACCCCTGCCCTAGGACAGAAGAACATTCACAAGACTTTAAGATGTATGACCATCTGGGGACCCTAGGGGACTTGAGTTGAATACCATGAGAACTAGCTGGGCCAGTAGAGTTCGGCTTTCCTGCCTCACCTTGATGGGGCTAATGAAAAGCAGATCCTGAACTGCATACCTTCTATTTGGGGACACTCACTGGGAAATGACCACGGGGCCCTTAGACGTTCTTTGTTAAGGATGAAATACTCAAAGCTTTTCTCTTCACAAAGCCCTCCATGACAGTTATCTGCAGCTCTTCCCTCTCTTCCTGCTTTACTGTAAACAGTGAAACCGCACCTGGGTCTTCTGATTGCAGATCCTCTGCTGCTCCTGGTGCCTCACGAGGAGGGATGGAAGGGAAATGTCTGTCCATCTTGTCTGTCTTGTTTTGCAGGGGAAGGTGCCTTGATCAGTGTGCAATGGGGGCCAGGGAAGCTGTCAGCCCCACAAAGAATAATAAGTTTTCTCTTCCTCAGATTTGCTGTCTGTTGTTTTGAAGGGAAGTAGGGGCCAGATTTTAGGATCGCTTGGATTTGAAGAGATAACATTGATTATAGGCAGTTGTACTTTCTGATTAAAAAAAAAAATACATAGTTTCAAATAGTTCCATAATGAGTCACTACTGAGTAGTCAGAAATACATTTCCTGTCATTATTCTTTGGGACTTGAATTAATAACTGTATTAAAATGACTGCCTCAAGAATTTACTTTGAGCGTTAACAAAGTATCAAAATTGCTCAAGCAGTCTTTAGAGACATACTAGCAAAGAATTCAGTATCAAGAGGAGCATGTCCTCCACTTCCCCAAAGCAGTGGCAGCCCGGCACGGGAACACAGGTCAGATAAAAGTCTGTCAACAAGTATGCAGGACACAGGTCAAGGTTAATCCAGCCTCTTCTTCAGCAAAAAGCAGATACCACATGTCACTGATGCGTGTCACAAAGGCCTCGTCTAAACATTCAGTGAAGCTTCAAGATCTTAAAGGGGGGAAAAAAGCCAAGTTATCTTGGTGACATATCGGGCTGCCCTGCTGCTGAACTACTTTGTAAAGCTGGGTGTGCCTTGTAAGAAATCTGGAAAATGTGGTTGCGGACTACTAACCTTGCAGGGGCCCTGTGACAGTCACATCAGACTGTCCCTCAGCAACCACTATGTCAGCTCACAAAGAGATGAAAACCCTGTGGCTGGCGCAGTAGCTTCAGCAAGTTTGGGAGTTCAGCTAAGCTGAAAAAGGGAGAAAGGAAAGCAATGGACAGGTGAGAGGGACCAGAATCCCCTCCGCTTTTACATGTGACTCGAAATCTCTCCACCGTGGCTTCATACTCAGTCCTCGAACAAATTCTCGCATCACATCTTGTCTGCCCTCTCCGAGACACTTGCTGCCTTTTCTCCACCCTGGGGAAGAGGCCACCATTTTGTCTCAAAGGAATATCGCCTATTGTCTTCTCCAGATGAAGGAGAAAGAGACAGGGGTGTAGGAAAACAAAACCTGTCAGAGATAATAGGGCTTCCTGTAGGGCCGAAAGGAAAGGAGACCTGTAACCCCCAAGTGTGGAAGTTCTACCTTTCTGGTAGTGCTCTGGAGAGGTAGCAGGGACGGAGCCAGAAATCAGAGCTGGGGTAAAGCTTTGCAAAGAATCACTATAGCACCTCAGGGGTCCCCTGTATGATCAGAGGACCCCCCCAGGGCATATTTTGAATGAATGTCCAGGAGTTGGGAATGCCCCAGGAGACCTAAGGCTGAGTTTCAACCCAGCAAATTGACTATCACAGAAAACTAAAATTTAAGAAACAAAAGGAACATGCATTTCTTATGCCCTACCATGGCTGTGGAGCTTCCCTGCATTCTTTTCAGAACATTCTTTAAGATAGCTCTGCTTTCCATGGAGACTCCAGACTTTAGAATAAAGAGTTTTAAGGTTCAGCACAAGTTTTCTGAAATTACCCCCTTCCCTGTCCCCAGTCTACACCGGGAAATACCAGCCTGGCAGATACTTCCTCTGTAATCTGAAATTCAACCCTGAAATCCCCACTCCGCCCACAACACTTCCCAAAAAACCTGGAGCAGAAAAGGTTTTATCTTTCTATTATGCACACCATAAACACACCAAGAAAGAGAAACAAAACTTTACAACGAGCAAACACTGCAGAGTGTTAGCAGACATGAAGCCGTGCTGAGCCCTGCTTACCAACGAAGGCTCGCAGACATGCTATCTTTAAGACTGAAAAAAATGAGAATTAAATTTAAAAATTAAGAATTAATTAAATTAAGTTAAACTAGGATCTGTTAATAATCTTGTCAAAGATACCACACAAATACCCAGCAGAACTGGGATTAGAATCCAGCTCTGGGGCTGAGGGTCCATGGTCAGCATAGGTGAGGCTCCAGGTTCTCTGGGTGAAGATTGTTCAGTTATCCGACGTTATTTAGCAGTATGCTCCCATTTCTTGGGCACATGTGTAAAGACTCTGAAGCATGACTGTTGCCATGTTTGTTAGCTGTGCGTTTTAGTTGTGTCCACTGGGTTACGGCTGAACTGGGCCAATGGGTTCGATGACTGTGACGAGCAGGACAGGGCCCTGGTGACAGACCATAATGCATTGGATGTTGTGCTGTGCTTTGATGTTCAGAGTTTGTCAGAGCTTCACTTCAGCACTCCAAAAAGTGCCACGGCTTCATTTGTCCCACACTCCACCTGCCGAAACAAATGGCAGGAGAGTGCTCATTACCCATCCTAAGGTCGTCACAGGCTTAAAAAGTGCCAACCCTTTCTGGAGGCCAGTGACAGATACTACGGAACCTTACCAGCTCATACCCAGGGGCACCTTTCTCTGCTTTCTGTCACCAGATGAAGGGGACCTGCAGATTCCTGAACTCAGCTGCAGGTTTCTGGGGAAGGGGACCCTCTCTCATACCTTTGGTCATGAGCTGAGCTTCAAGCAGAAGGACAGAGTTCTCATGGAAGGATGAGTTGGCAGGCTGAGATCATCCCTATGGCCATCCTCCTTCTCAGAGTTGGTCCCCAGCAGCGGCTGGGCCAGGAAGTAGTCACAGCCATTTGGCAGTCAGGGTCACGCAGGCCTTCATGAGCAGGAATGCATGCTGATACTAGGTTCCAGGGCTAGATGAGTCATCTGGGAACTGGACAGCTTGACCACAATCCTTTCTGAAGTGTGCTCTAACCCGTGTGGAGACCTGGGATCCTGCTGGCACCTGACTGTGGATATCATAGAGGCTTCTCCAAGGCCTGAGATTTCTGAAGGGTCGCCCTGCCCTGTAGAAAGAAAGGTTTGTCTAAAGTCTACAAAATGCTAGAGTGCCATCGAGCTGTCTTGTATCGACCTCTGGGTTGGTGGATCTCAGTCTATGGCAGAAGGCCTCAGTGGGTCCCTGTCGCTGTAACATGAAACCACTGTGCTGATCCTTCCTGGACAAAATACCACCTCCTCTGTTGAGATGGCAATTTCTAACTGGATCGAGACAAAACCATGTGGCTTATCTTAGGCCAGCTGCTATAACAAAATGCCATAGGCCATGAACTTTATAACCAAAAGAGTCTCATTTCTCATGGTCGTCTAGCTAGGAAGTCCATGGTTAGAATACCAGCAGATTCTGTGCCTGGTGAGCATCTGCATTCTGGTTCCTGGAAGGAACCTTTGTGATATAGCCTCATATATTGAGAGGCGTGAGCTAGCTCTTGGGGCTTCTTTCACAAGGACACTAATCCCATTCCTAAGGGCCCTGACCTCATAGCCAAATCATGGCCCTAAACCTCATCATCACTTTAGGTGAGCGGATTTCTGCAGGGCCACAACCATCCAGCACATCACGTCACAGACGGCTTTACTGTGTCTTTATCTCCCCACGCCTTAATCCCTGATGTTAATGAGAGTGCAGAGTTCTAGCTGAGAGGGCTGTTTTGAGAGCTCACTGTAAAGCGCATGTTGAAATATTATCCTTAAGCACAGCGCTCGGCTCGTCCTGAGATTCCAGCAGACTCAGGCTGCTTTCCCGGATCCACCGCCTTGCCTTCCAAATGCTCATATTCAAAGGGAAAAGAAAGAGGATGCTTCTTTGTAGACAGGAAGTAGACAGGACCACAGAGGTGCTAGGCTGCTGCTCAGCCTATGCTGAGGGAGGGCATGTTCCAGCCATCAGTGGGTGATGGAAGATCACGCAGCAGAACGCGGAGGGGTACAGCTGACTAGGATGCCAGCCACCACAGACTAAATGGGCAAGGCTTCAAGCTATGAGACTTGGATGCTTCAGACAGTGGTCTGCAGAGAAGGCAGCTGGGGCAGAGAGAAGCCATCAATTTCCCTTCCGTTTCAATTTGAAGGAGATTCTTCCTTAGTCCAGAAAGGGTCACTCCTTGTTGCAACAGTATCTAACAGGAAAGTGACTTGAAGGTTCGCTTGGGCTTAACTACTGGGAAATAATTTCAGAAAAAGGCCAGAGCCATGGAGACAGCTTGGCTCCCTGTGCAGAGAGGGTGACATCAGCCATGCAGATCAATTCCAAAGACTCCATTGCCCCTCAAACAATGTTTTACTAGCTTGTAGAATGTTCCAGAGCTCTGTCCATCCCGACTCCTCTTGGGGGCTGTCCAGGGCATTCTGGAAAGTTACAGTAAGAAAGTGTCTGTCCAGTTCTCCTGCACCCAGAGCCTAATTTCTTTTTAGACTCAGTCTAATTTCTTTCTGCTGTGTGATTCACTGTTAAATGGGAACACTTGTTTCAGCCTTAATATTAAATGTCATGCAAAAGAGCGTGGAAGAAGGAGCCAAGTCTAGATTGCAGTTGGAAAGCCTGCCCCAGCCGGATGATGACAACAGCATTAAAGTGGCTCCCTCTGCCTTCCTGTGCCCTCACTGGGTCACTGGGCAGGCTCTGCCTACAGGCATCCTTGTTTTCATCCCCGGAGTTAGCAGAGCAACATCAGTAAAGAAAGGAGATGTGCTGCTTGCTAACACTTAGCAGAAGAGCTGTTTCATCAGCACTGTCTGTCCAGACATTCTTGCTATCATTGTCAGGAAAAGAAAATGGGGTTCAGGACAGTAAACAAGAGTCCAGATGGAAGAGTCCGAAGACATCAGGAAGCGCTCTTGAGTCTGTGAAAACCTGGTGTGCTTCAGGGGACTTGGTCCCAGGAGGCAGAGAAAGCACATCAAATCTAATCAAACCTTTGCTACCAGCCGTGATTCCTTTGTAGAGGAGCACAAGCTAGGTTTGCAAAGAGCACATGGAAATATATAATGTCTGACTTGCTGCTAACAGAGCCGAGTTCAGTCTCATTATTGCTGTTTTCCAGGCGAGGAACCAGACGCTTGGAGAAGGTACCTTGCCCAATGTCATCCAGCTAATAAGTAGTCAAAAACAGACCACCAAACCGCCTAGCTCATCTGAGTCCAAGGGAATGCTCTTTGCCCTACATTTCTGAACTTCACAAATAGATGAGTGAACCAGAGCTTGTGTCATTGGACATCAAAGGAGACATTTGTCGAAAGACTAAACATGTACTTGGGCAGCTGAGTTGTAGAGGAGGGGGTCACTAGAGCTCCCCCCGCCTGCTCACACATGATGTGAATGGCAGAGGCTCTCTAGAGGAGACGCCTCCAAGAAGCCTGGCCTGG